ATTCTTCACTGGTCAGCAGCAAAATTCCCCATTCTGAGCTCAGTTATTACAGGTTATCAGTGTTTACATTTCTTCTGTGAATCTACTAATAAGACACTTACCAAGAAAAACCAGTATCAGGATGACACCTCTTCCAGACTCAAACACAATCCACATGCAGATGCAGTCACACCAACACAAACATTTTTATACTCCTTTATAATTCTATACAGATTGGGATGGTTTTTGGGAAATGGGGTGGTCTTTTTTTGTTTGTTTGATTTTTACAAATTTACATCCTCGATAAGTTTCAGATTTAAAAACACTGTCCGCTTATCTGAACTCCTTAGAGCTGAACACAACTCTACAGGTAACAGCTTTGGGCCTAGGTTCATTATAGTCTCCACATGAGAAATAAGATAGATGATGTACCAATAGGCTTTTCAGTCTTATAATCAGTAAGCATGACCTCCATTAAGCATCAGGGTTATTTATTAATTTTTTAACAAACAAAAATAAAAGAATCACTGAGAAGATTTTCCGTTACTGTGTTACCGCAAAAAGTAATCGACACAGCAGTATTTCAAAAGTATTTATTGTTTAGCTTTCTTGCCAATAATTGTCATTACTGCAGACACATGTATGAACCTCAGTATTACAACACTTTAAAGTCCTTTGTCCTGACTGAGCAGTACTTCAATGCTTGAACTTTACTTGACTTACAATCAAAGAAAAATTAGTATAAAAATGTTTGTGCTGTTAGAGCTGCAGCTGGCTGTAGGACTATGCTCTATTTTAAATATACAAGTTAAAATAATTTTGCTGTAGTGTGAACACGGTTGGACTGAATGGCAGTATTTAGACTAATTATCTTCTGGGAGCTTTAAGAATACACAGCTTAAATTAAGGGAGCGGGTATTGTGGTCAGAATCGAATCTCTGAAAGGTCACGATGCTGTTCATTGGAAAACATTTCTTCTGAGATAGAAGAGCAGTTTTTTGGTTGACCACAAAATCTACAATGACTTAGACCTTCCTGTAACAATAATTTCTAAGGCTAATTCCATGCATATACTCAACTAGAAAATACGAAGTTAAAATCAATTGTTCAAGACACATGAAAAAACATACCGTGCATACTGAACCATGCAGAATCTGAACCCTGTAACTGAACTGTTTTAAAGGCTTTTAATAAATACTCTTCATGAGTAGGAGGAAAACAAGTCAACATAATTAACTTCTCTACTAATATTGCAAATTTTAGCTGTATATACTGTTAACAAAGAGTAAAAAAGCAGTATGCATTTCTATTTAAACTAGTCTGAAGATAATTATGAATGCACACTCTGGCTGAACTTCAAGCGTTCAGATTTTAAACATTAATTTACTTTGACTATGTGCATGTCAAAATGAAAGATCGCTGTCTGGATCCAGACATGCAGTATTAATACTGAACACGTGCATTCATTTCAGGTCAGCAGACGTTCCAACTCTACTTCAGCAGGTGGTAGGAGTAGCACGCTAATTAAAATCTATATTAAAAAGTTCACAATGGGCTATCTATTCTGAACAGCTCCCATACAGAAACATCGCTGCAACCTAAGTACTTAGACCCCCTTTACTCGAGTCTGAAGAAAACTGAACTGCCCCTCTTGTAAACCACCAATTATGTCCCTTTCTGAACAATTTCTGCTTTTTCATCCTACCAACAGATTTTTCAAGGCAGCCCACCAAAGATTTCACAACCTAGGGTTAGATACTAACAAAGGTACCAAAACACTTCTTCAAAATAATCTCACATTTAGATATTAAAGGAATGAAAAAAGTTAAGCTAAGCTCATTCCCTATTAGATATCTGTCTCTATAGATTCCCTATAGATACTTGCACTCACTTCAGAAACTGAGTGCTTTTCATAAGTGATACATCTGAGAACAGTGTAAACAAAGTCAAGGGAGCCTCAGCCCAGATTACCTGATAAGATACTGATTCAGTCACAGTTTTAGGGTTAACGTGAACTCGTGCGTGGTTTGTTTTTTTTAACTTAACATTTTTATATTACACTTTTGGGAGCAGGTTTTTTCATTTGTAGCCAATATGTACTAGACTGAAGCCCAGAAATAACCTGACATTTTACAATGCAAAAAGTGCTTCAGTTACAGTATTTCTGACAAAACAACAGACAGCACTGCCTATAACGCTGCACAACACACACAGTCCACCTATTAGCCTCATTCCTAGTACCTCAATTCCTACTGCTGAATGAGATGATGATGTGACCACCAGGCTGACTGCAAGCAAAAGCTTGAACTTTATGGCAACCACAGCAAATTATTTGGATAGGGAAATACTCAGGAACCCCAAAATGGAACATTTAAAACACTTTTCAACAGTGACTGCATTTTGTTCCTCAAGTGCAACTGATAATTGCATTAAATACATTCCAAGAAAACAGCAATATTGGTCTTTTAACTCAGAAGACAAATAGCTCCTTTTTCTTCTTCAGATTTGAAAGAGACTAGGGATAAAGCGAAGAACTATTCCATTACTGATAGCAAGAACAGAATCTTCTTTTTTTATTATTATTCCCGTAGAGGCACTAAACTTTCCCACAGGGAGCATCAAGATGATGACATCTCCAAAAATATTCTCTCTCCGTGTTTCAGAAACCACCTGTTACTCTGCACTCACACTGAGGCCCCACGAAAGCAAATTTAAAGCGTGACCTAATCCCTACTCTCTTGAAAACCTGCCATAGCAGACACCCTTAGACCTCTTTCACCCCTTTACTGGCCAATAAGATCAGATCAAACTGATGCACATTCTAGCCAAGGACAAATATAAAGAATGTTACATCCCACATAGAATTTATTATATTTAATGAGCCTCCCGTGTATATGTGGTACAAGTTTGAATTGTACATGCTAGCCAAACAATATTGGATGGCACCTTGATAACAGGTGCTGCTTTAGAATTATAAAATTACAACAATAAATGACACCTGAGTTTAAGCTTCTCCTACAATAGCTGTTCATCTTAGATGCCTGTGAAGTTTTCAGCACACAGAGAAATGAGTCTTTGCAAGTGTAAACAGAAGTAAAAGGAGCATTTTGCTTCCTTGGGTACAATATCTTGTTTTTCTCATGTGTGGCACTATATCATCATACTTCATTTCAACTAAACCAGCTCAGATACTTACAACGTTGTCTACTGCAAAGCTAAGAACATATCTAAGTATATTTGACTTGCATCTTTCTCCTAGTAACATATAATCATATCATGCACTTCTATTTTAAATCTTTTTGGTTCCTATTGAGAAACATCCATTGCAAAACAGAAGGAAAATCTAAATATAATGGTTATTAACACATGTTGCATTGAGCTTTTGTTACAAAACAGCACATTTATCTTCGTCTATTCATTTAGAGTACTAAAACATCCTGTCAATATACCTCCTAACATACAGTGACATTAAGAGTATTTAAAAATCATTATATTAGGGGAAAATTTTAATAGAAATATTCTTTTCACAGGACACAAAAAGAAAGCATTTGTGAATTTTGACATCCTGGACTGAATTCAGCGAAACAGAGCACCAGCTTACCAGACAAACACGTTCGCAACTCCATCACATAGCATCACAGGAGATGAGAGTGGTGTCATCCCACCAAATGTTTCTTGCAACTTTTGTTTTGGTTTTTTTAGCATATAGGATACTACTCAGTGTATAAATATTATTACAGAACTGGACTGAATTTGTGTTTTTCCAGACAAAGTATTTTAACAGCAGCTGGCAAGACAGTCCAATAAGTAGTTACTATCTATTATCAGAAGCACGGACAGCTCTGCAGCAACAAAGTTTACAGGATGTGTCAAAGAACTGTGTACCTGCTTCTCTGCTTTAATGGTGATCTATGGATCCAAAGATAAAATTATCACACGAGGCATGTCAGAAAGGCATAGCAATTACACTTGCTAAAACAGAACTGGAACAAGGAACATTTTTATCAATTAATTCATGGTTGGCTAAGTACATTGTAGAGGCACTGAACTTGAAACAAAATCCTGAGCCCTCTCAACAAATGCAATCTCAATTAACAAGAAATACAAAACTTGGAAGTTCAACTGAACTTGAAATTATATTGTTAGCCTGACCATGTGACTTCCCATTGTAACTTATTAACGCACTTCACGTGCTTACCTATACACACAAAAACCCTGACGAACTGTAAGGCTGACTAAACATTGAAGAGATTTATGCAATTTGAGGGAAGATAAGGTGAAAAAAAAAAAGACATGGTCTTACTGCATTAATAACTAGGGTGGAAAGAATGAAGGTATTCATACCCATGACTATGAATCTCTCCTAGGTGTCTGAGTTAGGAGCAGAACTCCCTGCATAATCGAAGGAAAACAGCCAACACTATTGAACTCCTTACCTCCAGGGGGTGCTTCAGGAAAGCAAGTCTCTTTTCACTTAGCTAATTAGACTGAACTTAGGAACCTAAATGATATATCTAAAGATTTATGGTAAAAACACTTTTTGAACACCTATTTTGATAGATGTTTCAGCATTCCCTAGGTAGTCCTTTGCTTATCGTCACTTTGATGTAGCAGCTAAAACATATATTTAAACAAGAGTGGAAAGTCCCATTTTAACAGTTGTTTGGCTGCTTGGGTTTTTTTTGTCAAGGAAGCCTCTTCATTGTTTATTCCAGAATGACACTTTAAAAGACACTTTTCTATTTTCAAGGGATAACTATGAAAACATTTGTGAAACAATGCTAGAGAAAGTGATGCCAAAAATCAGTAGACTCTGTAGAGGTTAAAAAAATGTTTTAGCATCTAGAAAGATATATGAGTAGTTCCATTTTAAACATCTTAAATCCACCTCATTCATCAGGCTTTAAATCTTTCCTTTTTGGAATCAGTTTATTGAGAATATGGTTTGCAACGTAGATGGCACATGTGTTTTCAATACTGAAATGTGTCTAACGTAATTGGGTACAACTTGGCATCAAATACCACACAGTTTGTTTATTAAGTCACACACTCCTCGATATTAGTAAGACATGAACTAGTTCCACACTTTCTATACATCAAAGTGTATTCTTGATTTAGTTCCTGGTACCTGAAGTAGGTGTTAACGGGAATGGAATTGCTTTTGACAAAAAGCTAGACTATATTAATGAAAAGAAAAAAATACATCTATGAAAGCTTAAAGTTTTACAGGGGCGAGCTGCTCATTAGCAGGCATTTCTCAGTGTCTTGGATCTCACAAAAACAACAAACCCAATGCTAGTTCACATCAGTTTTCAACTTTTTTTACTGAAGCTTAGAAAAATGTTTCCAGTTTGTAGTAATTTTCCTTCTTTGAGTGTCCATTAACAGTAAGGATGAGAAAGGCAGATCCCTTAAATGACAAATACCTTCTTGAATCACAATGTGGGCACAGGTCTCTAGAGAACAGAAAAAAAAAAAGAAAAAAAAAATAACGGTCCTTCAACAGGTTGTTCTCCTGAAGGAATAAGAACCTATAAATCAGTTCATACAAAAACATTTTCATTATTAAACCATTTTCTTGCAGAACCGAATTAATCGAGATACAGGAGGAAAGACCTCAGCTTGAACCAACTACATTACTAATTCATCCTAGAAGCTGCCTTACTGCTTCAAACCAAAGGCTGTGAAAACCTGCAAAATAAGAAAAAGAGTTATATTGAACTAATTCTTTCACATTTTAAACTGAAACTTAACTACTTTAGAATCACTGCATAATGATCAGGGATTAGCAGCTATGGGTATATATACTACAGTTATGTATTTTTTTCTAAACTGAGGAAACTTTCACCTAACACAACAGATCTTCTTAGCTTTTCCATTTTTCACAGATACAAACATCTTTCTTTTGCCATCCAGCCTCACGTAACAAACTAATTCAGATCGCCGTGATTTCAATGTCTTGAAAATTATATATGGTTAGAAACTGTTTTCCATTTCCGTCTGGGATACAATCTTTGTAAGAACACTTCTTCAATACGAATGAGGTTTCCTCAAAAACTCAGTGAAAAAATTGGTTTTAATAAAGTTTTGCAGCTAAAAAAAGCAAAAGTAACTGCTCAATACTTCCTCAGAATCTTCCTGTAATAAAAGTCCCTGTGCCAATATCTGCTAATATTTTTCATTTGTTTCTTAAAAGAATCAAGTGTTATGCAAAATCTTCCATTTTCTCTTTAGTGTGTGCTAGGTAGCACACCTGGAATTCCAAGTACAAATTCATCAAGTGATTTCAATTAGTGCCAGGAAGGTGAGTCAAACTAGACATGTTGTATACACACAATGCAAATAATCACTGATACGCTAGTACAGGTGTGAACAAAGACAGTAACCAGCAAGATCGCAGGAAGTAAATGAAGAATATACCCTAGTGATTAAATAAAACCACTAATCATTAGTAAGACAACTACAACATTCAGCAACTACATCTGTTCCCCCTTTCCAAAAAACAAGTAAAATACACTTAACGATGCAAAACAAATTCGTACATGCACACAGAAAACATGCAGTCTGGTAACATAAATGCCATTTTTGCACTTCACAGACCCTTTGGAGTTTGGCTTTTTTTTTTAATGACACATAGCATACGCTGCAGCTGAAGCAAACTTTCTTCTTTTGTTGGAAGAATCCACATCTTCAAGAGATGCAAACTTTCCTCATGTACGTACCTGAGAACCATGAAAATCTGCCTTGCCAAAGTTTCTAAAATGTTTTTAACCATTAGAGTAAGGGAAACAGACTGCTTAGTATATTGTACTTCCCGCACAGTGAAAACCACTTGCTAACACTGATCATTATGAAAAAACCTTATGCCATCCTGATTGGACACAGAAAACCCTGGCTGCATCACACTGCAAGCGTCTTAGTACCACACCCATAAGCTTTATTTGGATATGATCTTTTCCATGAATGAACAACTACTATGCTTACAGTAATATGGCACAGTCACTCTGAAGACAAAAATCCAATTTTACAGAGAGAAAAAAAAGTTACAATTTTAAGCTTTCCTAGCTAAGATTCTGAAAATAAAGCGTTCATGTAACTAGCATGAACATACATGGACGATGATCAATTAAGAAAAATCATACAAATCCCTCTAATCTCCAAAGACTTTTCTACTAATCGCTGCTTCATTTCCTTTGTGACCATATTCGACCTGACAATGGATCTCATTTTTTCTGAATAATCTTCTAGGATATTTACACAAGCCTAATGTATGCAATACTTCTGCATTATTAATAATTGTGTGGGAAACACAGGAAAATTTTACCTCACTTGCTAGGGCTGCCTCTGAACTTTTGAGTCCTTTCAAACAATGCAAATAAGTCCCTGAGCCAAGAGATCACTTGTGGTGGGATAAATTAATTGACTAAATTGAAAATAAAATTCAATAAAATGCCATTTTTAACCTAAATGTTAATTTAAACAGTTCTCAAAAATAGGTCTCAATAATAATTTTGGTGAAAGCACAGTTACACAGTGCCATCTAGCAGTGACTAACAGTACAGCAGTTACTACGATACTGTTTGACACATTAAATAGTTTGTAAAGTCCTTACCCATTTAAGGAAATTCAAAGAAACCAGTGAAGTGACCCACACAATTGCTATAAGCAAACCTAAAGTTGAAACTTTAGAGATTGAATCTATACCAACTGCTATAATTCTCTTCCTGTTGACCTTATCTCTGGCCTCATAAAAGAGCGTGAAAGGTGTTTAAAACACCTTTCTTTGATAGCTTACTTCTGCAAGAAAGCTTTCTAAAAGCGTTCTGGAGAAGGTAAGTAAGCATTAGCAGAACTCTTATTACAATGGAGCCCTGTATAGCTCTTATTGCAAGTCTGACACCAAAACTAAATTTTGATCTAACGTTTCTCTAAAGTTTTTTCTTCACTAAATTTAAATGGCCAAGATTTCTCTGCTTGTTATGACTCCAAAACTGTTGAAACATCTGAAGTTAAACACCAATAAATTCAAGTTTTCTAACATACTGAGGAAAAAAAAAAAAAAAGGATATTTAAGGCCCAAAAGATTGGCATCAAGATGGATTCTTTACCAGATCAAGTTGCACAAGATACCTGCAGAAATCAATCACTGCACAAAACACTAAAGTGTTCCAAGTCTAAAGCTCTAGTTTCACAAGCACATACTTTAACTCAGCATAAGCCCTAGTGCTAAATGAAAGACAAGCCATCTCTTGAGCACTCAGTCCTATTAATGCTCTGCCCTCTTCCTTTCGCAATGTCTTAATACATATGCATAGATACTTCCAAAGATTTGTCCAGCTTTGCAATAATCAAACCAAGGAACTAATCTGGTTTTAGACTAAAATGGCCAAAAAATAAAACAAATGGTGCCAGAGTATTTTTGAAATTACAGTGGAAAAATAAAGGCAAACAACAGAAGCGTGATGTCAATCTTTGGCTTAGCAATTCAGAGTTTATATTATTTTTTAAAAAGCTAGAATACTGCCATTATGAACAACAGCAGTGTCCCTAAATGACCCACAAAAGCAAATCCTTAAAAACTGTGAAGCTCTATAAATTAGTAGCATTCAGTTCAGATACATTAAAAATGTGTGCAGAGAAGCAAGGTATTCTGTTCAGGATAGTATACAAGCTAGCAGCAAGACTTCAACTTCCCCATTTTGAGCAGTTTTATTCTAAAACCATCTCCTGTAAATATTTTTCTACATAAGTGTATTTCAGTATTTCCCGTTTTACTTTAAAAAAAAATACCATGTTAATTATGACAGTTATTCTCTAATAGACTCTGATCCAGATTTCAGCTGTCCTGGGACCTAAATTTGAAGGTTTCATAAACCATATTTTGAATAAGGCATCAAAAATCCACCTTCTACCCATTTATCAGAATTGTACACACTAGATAAACAGACTAATGCACTTGAAGATTGATGCAGCTAAACTGGATAATGTCCAGAGGAAAGGAACAAGAAAGGTCAGAGATCTAGAGAACATGACCTGTGAGAGAAGCTTTTAGGAATTAGGTCTATTTAGCCTAGACACAAGACGCCTATGGGGAGAAGTGATAACAGCATTCAAATATGTGAAAGGTTGCTACGAAGAAGAATCAGATGTTCTCCATACCCACTAAAGAAAACACAGGCAGCTACAGCCTTCAACTGTGCTAAAAGATTTAGGTTACACATTCGGAAAAACTTTTCAACCAGAAAGGTAGTTAATCACCCAAAAGGGGTTATGAATTCTCCATCGTTGGAGGCTTTCGACAACAGCTAAAACAAATGTTGGTGAACGGCCCAGCCCTGGGAAGGAAAGCTCAACCAGGCAGGTGCCTTTTGGCCTATGATCTATGACAGACTGCAGCAGTCTGAGAGGAGGCTCTGCCAGTCATGTAAACAAACTTACAACCTACTCCCTACAGGTGGTCAGGGAAAACAGTCTTACTTAAAATTCCTCTCCCAGTCCCCCTCTGCATCAGTTTACACCCCAGAAATAAACTCTTCTCCCTGTACCCGGTGCCTGACTGCCTGCCAGCAGGTGAGCAGCATCACACTGAGGTGCTGTTAAAATACAAGAATTTCTCCCCAGCTCACTCAACAGCAGAGGTGAAGCTCACAGTCCCCTCCATTTAAATGTACTTCTGCCTCAGTAAAGTGAGGAACCACTGACAGCACTGAAAAGCTACAGCTGTAAGCGAACTGTCAGCCACCTACAGAAGAAAATGCTGTTTTTCCTGCTCTGCTGTGTTTGTATTTGGAAAATCGTGGATAGACCCAAAGACAATTCAGAAGACGCACTAGTTTTCCAACAAGCCTGGGGGTTTTTTGTTGGGTTTTGTTTTGGTTGTTTTTTTTTTTTAAAGACACAAGTGTCACAGCAAAATAGTTTGTGGAGAAACTCTTCTTTCCTCCCTTAAGTTTCCTGGGTTTGGGGTTTTTTGGTTTGTTTTGTTTTAAAAAAAAAAAAAAAAACTTAAACAATAACATTTTTCTCCTTTAACAAAAAATTCTGTCAAAGTTTTTCCTATTCTACTGTCATGTTACAAAGAATATTTGGAATTGTTGAGAATACATCGATGTGACTGCCTCAGACTTAAACTTCTTAATTTTTTCTTTTCTAGTTAGTAGACTTCTAAAGCTTATTCAGCGGATAGTCTCCTTTCATCACTACCGATCGTAAGACTCAAACTTCTAGTTAAATACTGGATGCTCAAATTTACCATCACCTGACGGTCTACATCTTTACATTCACAAAGGAATATTAACATTTACCAATGGCAAGTGAATTTTTCAAAGCATGATAAAGACAAACAGAAAAATGCCAACCCATAAACAAACAACGGAATTTCAAAAGTCAACTATCACTTAGGGAATTACAAACAAGCACACTTTTACCCTTAAAGCCCGGCCAACAAAAGCTGAGG